CCAACCAGGCAGACCAGCAACCGCCTAGCTCAGCTTTTGTCTTCTTGTCTATCTTTTTCTCATTCCTGCTGCCATTTCTCAGCAGGCAGAGATGATCACACTGAGACCAATGGATCCCTACCGATAATCTCATCAGGATAGAAGATAACATAGCAAATGCCCTGGCTTTAGAACCTGCTTCATGATTTAGACTTCTATGTTTGCCGTAAGTTCTCTATGGAAACTTAGATAAATCATTAAACAATTTCTTTGGCCACATCTCTTCCTCCATAAAATAAAATAATACATGCCACACCTATCTTTTCATTTCATTTTCTATTAAGCTAGTTAAAACAAATGAACGTACTTTGAAAAAGTACTGGGGCCAGGGAGATAGCTCAGTGGAATAAGCACTTGTCTGGCAAGGGCAAGGTACTGAGTTCTATCCCTGGTACCACCAAAAAAAAAAAAGTTACTTATTCATTGAAGAGATGTATGGTAGTGTTTACTTTTGTTTTGGTGGGAAGTAAGATGGTGCCCATAGAAAGTAATTACTAGCTAATAAAAAACATCACAGATCACTGTTCAATTGTGCATACACTGCCAAACATCCAAAGTCAACCATCCAGATGCTCTGTCTAGCAACATGCCAATCATCTGGAGGGTTCTGAAAATAGTATTCATTCTTTATCTTACCAATGACTTGTATTTTTCTGACTAATTTTATGACCTCTGCTAAATGCAGTAGACAACAGTTCATTTGTTTGTTTGTAAAGAGAAAAATAGAAATCATATTATATAAACGATCACATAAGAGAAACTGTCGGTATTTGAGCTTATGTGTACCACTTCCTTTAACACTATGTTCTTAGTTTATACTTCTGTACCTATAAATGTCTCATTAATTTTATAGCATGGCTGTACTCTACTGTGTATAAAAACATATTTCCTACTCATCACTGTTTCAAAAATATTTTACTGTATGGTAATATGTTTCACTTATACTATTAGTTTAATTTAATCCTAGTTCATTGAAAGAAAATTTTGCTTTATTATCATTTTATTTCCTTTTTTTTGGTAAGACTTAGGTTTATGTCTTCTATTCTGAGCAACTACTTTTTCAGGTAATGATACAGTGTTTTAACTATTGTTATTCTCTTTTAATTTTTTTAAATTTGTTGTTGTTTTTGTTTGTAAATGTTTTTGTTTAAGAATCTCAGCACTTGGGAGGCTGAGGTAGGAAGATTGCTGTGAGTTCCAGGCAAGCATGAACTACATACTGAGTTCAAGGCCAGTCTGAATGGCAACACACTGTGTCAAAACAAATAAGCAAATAAAAGGAATATGCCAACTTTTCATAGGCTTTAAAATTTCCCAAGTCTTTAGGTCAGCTTTCTGAAAAAAAGCTGTCAAATTACAGATCAGAAATTATTGCAAAGTTACAATTTGTATAATAGAACAACTTAGTCAGATAAGAACTTGGGGCTTAGGCTTTTAAAATCATTTAGAGGTGAGTGTCACTGGCCATTCAGTTCTGCACATGCCCCAGCTTTCAGGCTTGGCTGTTAATAGGCAAAATTGCCAGCTGCTTTCCCTGCTCTCTCCCCTCTCCCACCCACCTATAGCTATACTGTGTCAGGCACCTAGTATTGAAGCAGCATACCTTTTAAGGTGGACAGTAACCAGGATCTGGGCCCCTACAGAGAATTTCAAAAATGACTGTTTTTGCTAGCAACCACACAGAAAACTGAAAAGTTGTAGTTTCATTGACAGCATGGCTTACTAAGTCAAGAGATGAACAAAGCCGCCACGTCTGGCTCAATGGACATGTAAACAAGTTGCCTTCTCAAAACATACTTTACATCTGACAGTAAAAGAGATGTACAAAGAGTCATATTTGAGAAAATCAGAAATGTTTATATGGAATTAATTTTTATGTGCATTAGAAAAAGAGAACATTTATAGGGGCAAAGCAAGGAAAATGTAAGGCCTTCCCACATCAGATGCTCCTTGGTCATGCTGTAACATGAAAATAGAGTTAGAGCACGTGCCACTTGTAAATCACAATTTCAGATTGACTCTGAGTACTTCAGCCAAGCATTTTGAGATTTTTTTTTTTCTTTTTGGTACAGGGTCTCACTATGCAGCTGTAACAGTCCCCTGTTTCAGTATCCCCAGCACTTGGGTTACAGGAGTGCACCATTATGCCCAGTTTTGATGACTGGCATGGTGCGCCCAGGGTTCTGGTGCCAACACAACACGTGGTACCGGGGATCGAACGTGGGTCCTTGAGCTTGCCGGGCAGGCACTTAGAACACCAAGCTACCTGCCCAGCCAATTTTGAGATATTTTAGTGAAAGTTACAGTTTTATACTTCTCAGAAACACATTCGTGATTAGGTCTAACTATATAAACAACTTTTCAAGCTACATCCACTTAATAGTTGGTTGACAAAAATAGAGAGGAAAATGACTGGTGAAAAACATCTGTTACTATGTGCAGGGATTTTGTGCAGGACTCTCTAGATACCAAAATCTATGGATGTTTTGGTCCCTTATATAAAGTGGCACAGTATTTATATAAAACATACACACATTCTGCTCTATGCTTTAAATCATTTCTAGGTTACTTATAATACCTAATACAAGATGCTATGAAAAATAGTTGGAATGCTGATTTTTAAAGAAAATACTGATAAGGCACTAATCCCTGTGTTCAGTACAGAAGTGATTATTCTCAATCAGTGGTTGATTGAATCCGTGGATACAGAAACCAAGACACAGAGAAGCCCCTGAGGTGAAAATACAAGATGTTTGGCATGATCAAAGTTCTTGAGTCTTGCAAAGTTGCTTCTCAGTGAAATAGACTGTGATTCGTTTTCTGATTGAGAAAAAGATATTTAAAAATATTGTTAGTGTAGGTTGCAACATATTATGTAATAATGAAAATGGCAGTTTATAGAATTTATTTTATTTTGTATTTTTTTAGGAAAGGGTCTATAGGGTGTTCAGGGGTTCACTACTAGGTCAGACATATAGTGATCCGCCTGTTTACAGTCTCCCAAGAGCTGGGATTACAGGTGTGTACCACCATACCTAGTCTCAATTGCCATCTCAACGTGTTCTGGGGATGAGGCCAGCCCAGCAGGCCCAGGGATGAAGCCTCTGGCCCCTGCACCTGCTTGCAGGTACTTTAATCTGCTGAGCTATTTGGCTGTCCCTGGTTTGTAGAATTTAAATCATACTAATAACTCTACTGAGAAACAATATCATCAGCTCCATTTTACATAAGAGAAAGCAAATGAAAGAACAGCTCACTCACAATTTAAGAAACAGTCTCCTCCACTAGATTTTGTAGAATTAAGGGGACAATTTGGGGTCCTGAGTCCAAGTCCATTTTTCTTTCCTTGACACTAAATGGCCCATCAAACATAGGAAGCACCAGGCCACTTCTCACCCAAGCTCAGGAGAGGTCAAAGGGCCTCCTTTATTCCTTTCTCTTCTTCTCTTTTCTCTTATTTTTCCATTTCTTCTTTTTATTTTAATATGCTTTGCAGGGCACCATTTCTAAATTCCTTGAATGGTTCACACCACGGGTCTCATGGGTGCTCTTAAATGACCACCAATAAATGCCCGAGGATGGTCCTTATCCCTTCATCCTTTCTGGGGGTTTCATCCTCTGTGGTGTTTGAGTCAACACCTGTCTTTATGGATTCAATTCCAGAAAAGATTTTTAAAAAGAGTAAAGAATAACTCTTTCCACATAGTATTTTCTGGATCTTTCTCATACATGAGAAGTTTATTGCTGCTGCTACCATTTTTAAAGTGAGACTATTTTCCTCTAACCAGCCAATAAACTATGAGCCCTTGTGTTCCCATGCCCAAATGACAAAAAGTAGAAGACATGAACAGAACACTTGGGTGATAGCTCATTGAGACAATTTTAAAAAAATAGAATTACTAAGTCTTAAAGCATGCTCTTAAATGCTATTAATTTTCTGTCTTGCATAAGACAACTCTTAGCTTTTAATCAAGCATAGAATGTGCTGATTAATCAAGCTTTTTAAAGACCGTTGTCCATTCCCTCTTTTCATCTTAGCTAGCATTTAAACTCATCATCTAACAGGAAACCTCATTATTTTTGTACAGATTCCAGCAGTCAGAATCTCACACATGTCCAAGACCCTCCTCTTACTAGTGTTACATCCACAACCTGAGTGATTTACGTTTATCATTACAGTTTTCTTCTCAAAATTGAATCATTTTCAGAATAAACTGTGTATCTGGGTATTATTGAACTCAGTGGGGCACTTTTATCAAATCTGAAATAACACTGGGAAAATATTTAGAAACACAGAAAAGAAAGGTCTCACGTGTGGTGGTCGGATGCGTCTCCTCAGCAGTCGGGCCCGCTTTTAAGCTTGCAGCTGAGGGCGTCACAGCAGAGGTCGGCGCATTTCTTGGAAGCACACACACAACAGGGAGAACAAGTTCAACAGTTTGCTCCCATTGGGCAGGTTCAGAGGATTTAGATATAAGATGGCAGGGTGGGGGGCCGGGGAGATGGCTCAGTAGGATAAGCGCTTGACTAGCAAACACAAGGATCTGAGTTCAATCCCTGGTTCCGCAAAAAAAAAAAAAAAAAAGATGGCAGGGAAATTTCCCTGCTTAAGGTAAATTACTTTGTTACACTAATTTCAGTAGCAATAACCAAGGAAAGTTAATAGCAAAAAGGTCATGAACACCATAAACTACCTCTTCCAACCTCATAGAACTACCTAAAGAATCCTCCAAATAAATTTGATCTGGCAGTACACATAAATTATTTAAAAGCTTCAAAAAATTACCCTTCTATAATAGTCAAATGCTCTGAAAACAGGGAAAAGTTTAGACCCCTGTCCACAGTATGTTAACAAACATGCCTAATTTTGGTAGTGAGACAAAATGATCACACACACACACACACACACACACACTATTCTCAGAAAAATATAAGTGCAACAAATTTGAGTAGAATGTTAGTGAAACACTTGCTTATTAATATAATAACTCTCCATCTCTGTGTGCAGTTTTTCATCAAAAATGTAAGAGCAGTGCAACTCTAAGGAACAAGGTTATATAAGGTACTGTAGTAAGAGGTCAAGAGGAGAAAATAATAATGTTGTGAGAAAGCTTAACAGTTGATAATTTGAGCGGCAATTGTTAAATTAAGCATTGTTTGTAATTTATGTAAAAGGCAAGCATTATTTATAGCCTACTTTTTTGAAGAGTCTACAAAATACTATGAGACATAAAAAAGATATGAAGACATAATAAAAAGTATAAATCATGTTTTCACTGTGTGAGATACAATCTTTTATTTGAAAAACATGGAGGATAAAACCTTAAATATATTTTATGTGTCACTAAGATAACTATTTATGGTAATAATAATACAGCATCAACATTAGTGGACAGGTACACTACCATTAACTATACCACCAGCTCCATAAGGAGATAGTTATTTAAAAATATAGATGTCCATAAGCCTGAATTTACTAGTTTTCATCAATTACGTAAGCAGATGTAATTCAACAACTTGATGTTGAAATAATTTAAGTTGATTGATATACTTCAGAAGACAAGATATTTTGTATCATAAGGACAGTAGTTCCTCTTCTTGTCTTTCTCCTCCTCTGTCCTCTAGGTAAACACTGAAAATCTGTTATTCGTCTAACTAAGCTAAAAGCACTTGAGATTTATGAAATTCAATTTGCTTCTACCCAAGAAAACATGGGACTGTGGGTTAGTCAGAATGTGATAAGCTTAACTCTAATTTAATTTAAAAAGTCAAATTATTTGCAAAAGTCTGTACTTTTGCAACTAGCAGAATATTTGAAATCTCCCTCCTCAACAAATTTTTAAGTCCTACCCAACAACATCCTAATGCAATCTAATGGTTCAAAATTTCTGAATAAATGAGATTAAGTATAGAGGGATTATCTTTCTTCTATACAATAAAAGAGTCACCTGAATCACTGGATAAATCTCAGGTTTCATTTAGCTACCAATTACTAGCTTTTGTTCTTGGAACTAGTTACTTAGTTACTAGCCAACTTTTCCCAGCTTCCCATCTCTAAATTAGAGAGACAACAAAATTTATTTGGTAGATATGGTTCAACAAAGGAGATATGATACATAACATCAAAAGATACTTTGAAGATTATCAAACACATATAATCTCTTCAAATGATAATTTTTGTCTTAAAAGTAAAGATTGCTATGAAAGCAGAATTCTTAGAAAACTAATAGGAGATTGCTAATAAGGATTCTATCAGAGACATTCATTAGATTGCATGGATGTCCTGATAGTTTATAAATGTTAACAGGATTGCAGTAGTTATCTTAGATGCTGTACGTCAATAATTTTTTCTGAAAGTTCATGCAATCTTTCTTTTGTTTTTACATCCTTTGATTAATTTGCTTCCTAGTTTGCATGCTGACTTGATGAACAAAGGCCGATTCTTTTAGCAGTGAGACCTTACGTGCAGACCTGTAATTGCTGCAGCTTAACAAGAGATTGACGTTAAGGAATTAAAGGATTTCTAATATCCCTTTCTATTAAGGGATAATACATCTTGAAAGATGATAAATGACCTGTTACATCTAATGGTTTACTTCTTTACACTAAACTTCATACAACTATATCATAATCCGCTCTTAGCTTTCAAAGGATGATTAAACTCACTAGCAAAGCCCAAGTACAAATCTACTTTTAAATTTTTGTGTCAAGTTTATCTCTGAAGCATTTTCAAAAAAAAAACCACTTAAAAAGAACAGAAAAAAAATTAAAAATGCCTATGTTGTTGTCTCAGTAACTGGCCAATAAGAACTTACAGTACGTGTGTTCTCATACCTCAGGGGAGCCGCAGTCACAGTCTTCTCCCACCTCCAGGAGCTGGTTCCCACACACCGGTTTTGTCATTATGTGTTCAGGACTGGGCGCTTGGAGGATGCACTTTGGCTTTTGAGATAGGAGGTATTTTTCAAAACGTGAGCGGCAGGCTTTACTAAAATCCTTTGGGAATTTTGAACTGCAACCAGAAAAATACTTAAATCACAACATGATGTACGATAAAATAGCTTTTTCATGATAACAGAACAGGAGAATCTAACTTATCTAATTATATTACTCAGTTCAGTGAAGATTCCAAATTAAGTAAATGTTATGGCCCATGCTATGCTATGCTATGCTATGCATGCACATTATCCTAATTGAAATTTCTTTGCTAGACCCACAGATACAGAGCTAGAAGCCCTTAAATCTGCATATGATTTGATCACTGTGCTAAAGAATAGGACAATAATAATCAAGGTCACTACTTCTTGTTATCCACTCATCCTGAAGAGTAAGTTGTAAAGAGACTCAATTATGACTCAGTGAAACAGAATAATTGCAAACTTCTAGGTCATGCACAAATATTTCTCATCTTTGTGAGCACCTAAAGAATGAAGTCTGGGTAATTATGAAGCATGATTTCCTTGAATATTCTTATGTAGGTAGCAATCATGGTTTCACTTTAAATCAATAAAGTGTTAAGTTAAAATAATATGGTTGCCGTGGTTGCAAACTCCATCCTGGAATATTTGGGACCTTCAAAGAAGTAGCCTTGATGTTTAGTGAAATCTGTACAAAAGGAGACTAGAAGCTGAACTAGTGAGGTATGTGCTCTTTGGGGAAAAATCTCACATAGACTGAGTGCATCTAAATACGTTTAGATTTGGGAAATAGTTTTTTTAAATTTAAGGTGATGTGGTTTTACCTAAGAAATCGATACATCACACAGCTGCCAGAGGGACACTGGGTGGTAAGTGCAATGTCAGGCATGCCAAGGACGTGGCCCAGCTCATGGGACATCATTCCTACAAGAGCCAGGCTATTCTTATTTCTAGCCTGGAAAAAAGTAGAAACATATGTTACCTCTTATTTAAGAAACTAAACATGTTTTGTTCTGCACTGTACATGGGCAGTACTTTAAAGAATAGCTTGAACAATAGACATGAGTCATTAAGATTCTTGAGATTGCTTATTGGTTAATGTTGAATGAACATTTGAAATGCTTAGGTCCTGTGAATCTAGCCATCAAATCTGTGCTCAGTACTTGTTGAACTCACAAACACTAACTACTCAGTAAACAATAGCTAAATTAATTTCATTCCTCTTGGAAAGTATTAAGAAGCAACAAAATATCCACTGGGAGGTCCAGAAAGACCATTACAATGCCTCTGATATTGGTAAGGCTTGGCTATGTGACACCTACCTGCGCCTGTCTCCCTTATCTGATCTCTTCAACCATAGATAACTAATTTATCTAGGCTCCAGCAGGCACTTAGATCTCTCTAGTTCAGTATCCCTGCTCTTATCCCTTTTCACCAACTAAAGGGTGAAGTCTTTTGAAAGGGTGAGGTTTCATAACCCAAGCAATTTTCAGTGCAATGACCTATCAGTACATTCTTTTCTACTTTGGCGTATTCACTCAGCAAACGCTCATTCCCCTTGTGCTCTGCACAAAGCACATAATCCTCTCTCTACAGATATAGTCAGAGTGAGCCTCAGTATAAGTTTACAAACCTCAATGACAGAAATTGAAATGGAGGAACACAAGGAATTTGGGTATGCTATTCCTACACGTCGAAGGTTGAAGCCTCTTCCACTGTGTGAAAAGTACAGAGACACCGTCAGAGTCAGAGCTTTGGAACCATCAGCTTTCCCAGTGATGCGCTAGCTTTCTGCCATTACTCTAGCCTTTTTGTGCCCATTGGTCCCCAGAATGGCTTCTACTGTCCCACACCTTTATAATGACCACATATGGTTTTCTCACGCCCAAGAACCCATGCTATTTATATTACAGGGATCTCTAAATATCCCACAGCTGAGTCCCTTATGGTAGGACGTTAGGTACTGTAACACTATTGGGGTGATATAGCTGGGAAGAAATCCCTGCCAAGGAACCCTGGAACCAACTCATCACTCCACTGATGCATATTTGCCCTGGCCAGTAAGGGCTCACCTGAGAAGCTGGGCGTGGCCGTGGATCTTCTTTTTCCCCAGGGTAGAACTATGCCACTTCATGAAATTCCTATATGTGTTGTCTATGCTGTGTTCCACCTTGATCTTGTCACCATCAGACCAGATTTCCATACCTACCAAGGCCACTTGAATATCTAAAGTGTTATAGATCTGTGGAAAGAACATTTTTCTTCATGAAAAGAATGCAGGATTCTTTCAGTGTTTGGAGCTTTTTTTGATCACATATGAGGGGAAAAGGCATGGGCCACAAGGGATAAATCATTTTTATTCTGAAAATGGAAAAGCTACCAAATGTCTTTGCTATAGTGCATGTAATTAACCTTGATGTTGATCCCTTTTTGTTTGTTAGGGGTGTGTTGGTCTATGTTTCCCAGAATGACTGTCCTCGAGGCACTCAAGGCCCCTTACTCTGAAGTCACAGGCAGCCCCAAGCTCCCATGTGAAAACACATACCTACGTGACAAACATCTTACCACGTTGAGCAGGTTCATCACATCAAACAAAAAGCTTCTCATTACAGTGACATTCCCGTTATATAGCTTGTACTGTAAAATGTACAGCAGCATACAGTTAAAATAACAAGCAATAACACTAATTCACATTTATAGAAAAGTTGCTTATTTTAGTATAGTTATATACTAAAATTCCTGACTACACCATTCAAGACTTTATTTCAACAAAATCTAATTCAGTATTTTGCTAAAAGAAAAATCAGAGACTCATGAAATTTCAATGGTATTCAATTTAGGTTCAGTAAGTTAAGTTAATAATTTAAGTGGTTTAAAAATAATTCAATTTTAGGGCAGGGGAGATAGCTCAGCAGGTCTAAGCACCTGCCTTGCAAGCACAAGGACCCACGTTTGATCCCCACTACTGCATGACATGAAGGCCTGTCACTCCTGTAATCCCAGCACCAGGGAAGCTAACACCGGAGGATCTCTAGAATCTGAGCTGCATAGTGAGGCCCTGTATCAAATATATAAATAATTTTTAAAAATTTAAAAAATTTAATACTGCCGGCCAAATAACTCAGCGGATTAAAGCAACTGGAAGCAGGTGCAGGGGCCGGGTTTCGATCCCCTGGGCCTGTCCTGCTGAGCCACCCTG